TTTTAAGAATATATTTTATAAGCAAAGTATACCTCATATCATTAATAAATTATTGTTTTATTTAAAAAATACTAAATGCAATTTAATTTTCCAAGCAAATTTGTCTGAAATACAGTTTAAGGAATAATAATATTCACTAAGAATGTCATGACTATCTAAAAAAAAGACTTATATATGAAAACTCAAGATGCAGAAAAAAGCTAAAAACTAGCATAAGATGAAAATTTTCAAAATTTGTAATGATAGTAATATTAAGTTTAATAATACTAATGATGATAATATAGAAATAAGTATTATGAGAGCTAAAGAAGCAAATGATGTTATAACAAAGTTGTTATAAGCAGTATTAGAAGAAATTACATATCAGCCATTTGTATATATTGAAAACTATCAAAGAACAAAAAGATATTAAAGACAATTACAGAAAGAAGCTATAGTCAGAACATCTAGATTGGAGTTATTTTGGTTATCAGTAAGTTATTTATTAGTAAATACAACTAATAAATTATAATTTTTTTTAATATAAATTAATGTTTAAATTGCTTTAATTTAAATTTTTTTAAAAAGACAGTAAGCATTGATAATAATACAAGTATAAATAATTCAGATAGTGATTCTGAAAGTAGCTTTGAAGTTGAGACTGATAATATTATATCTTTTGAAAAGTTGAACAATACTATTAAACATTTAAAAAAAGAAATCAAAAGTAATAAGCATAGCAAGATGAAGAGAGTCTACCTCTATAAAATGTTAAATTATTTTTATCTTGTGAAATGTGACTAAAAAAGAGTCAAAACAAGTATGATTGTTGCAGAAATAGCTGGTAAGAGTTTTTATTATGCCTGTTGCATATGTAAATAGGCAATAAATTATGTTCAAAATAGTGCAATTCTGACTTCAAAGCAAGATAAACATCTAAAAACCTAAAGCTTTTTATGGAATAATAATATTTTAATACAAATTATATCTTTTTTTTATACAAACAAATGAAATGCTAACTTAGATAAACTGGCAAACCATGTTAATAAGAATATACTTTTGAGTCTTTGCTATGATTTATCACCAACAATAAGTATAAGAACAGTAAGAAGATGATTAAGAAAATTTAGTTTTGAATACTTGAAGCTTAGAAAAGAAATGTATATAAACAGGCATGAATGTACAGATGTGGTAGCTTATCATAAAAGATTTTTGAAAAGGATATCAGCATATGAAGTATGTATGATAATTTTTTTTAGTAAAAATATAAAAACAGAAACTCAACCGACTTATCATAATATTATAATTTTGGTAACACATGATAAATACATTTTTTCAATATATGCTAGAAGATGTTAGTTGTGGATTCTAAAAAGAGAACATCTACTTTATAAAAAAGGCCAAGGGCAGTTAGTTTATATAAGTGAATTTCTTACAGATGTTGGTAAACATTTAGCTTTATATAAAGAGAACAAGGTATTACTTAATTTTTAAGCTTTAATCTATTTTTTTTTTTACAATTAGAAAATTAAGGTATATTTTTTAGTCTGCTTTTTCTGATCTTTTGTCAGAAGCAAGTGTTATAACTTATTCAGATAAAAATTATAATAAGTGATAAAGTTCAGATGATCTTGTTAACCAGGTTATAAATTGTACAATTCAATTTTTAAAACTAGATTTTTAGAAGTAGTGCTCATTTTACCAACAATCACTTCAATAACAGCCTATTTTACTAACAGTTAATTTACCAACAAGTCATTTCACTGACAAAGTAATTCTGATCATTTTCATTAGGATCAGTTGAAATTAGAGTTAATGTTAGTGCAACTTTTAAAAAAACCTAGTTAGTAAAATGGCTATCAGTAAATAGTTGTCAGTGAAATAAACTTGTCAGCGAATTAACTATCAGTGAAATAGAATGTTGGTGAATTGATTGTTGGTAAAAAATTCAAATCATATACACTCTCCCCGCTGATCACTCATACACAAAACTGTAGAAAAATACTTTAGAAGTTTGCTAAAAAATGGCTGTCAAAACCAACCTTACAGGCTTAAAAAAAAAGATAGAGCTTGTAGAAAAATATATAACAAGAGATAGAAGTAGGAAATTAGAAAGCTTTTAGAAAAGATAGA